GGTCATGAGTCCATATCACAACTAGTTAGGTAGGCATAAAAGCAGAAGAAACAGATTACCTTTTCCCCCTTTAAATACCTCGACCAAAGGGACAAAGAGTTTAAAAAAGTCCGTTAATTATTGATTATTAGCATAACTACCAATCATTGCTTGCATATTAGATATTGTTTTATGTGTCATTGAAACAGAGCACGGATCATCATCATCGTCATATTTTGTATGTATTTGATACTATTAAAATCTTATTTAATTCGATTGAGAGTAGCTTTTTCAATGAGATTTTTTTATCTATAAAGTTTGAAACCGAGACCCTATTTACAAGAATTTGAGTCTTCTTCACTCAATCCAACCATCGTTGGTTTATATATACACAAGTAAGCGTATATCTACTAACTAATTTTTAGCTGATACAATATCCAATCAAGTAGGATTTTTTAACATATCGTGTAATTAATTTTAATTGTGTAGGAGGATTGAGATAGAATTGAATTCGATTAGTTTTCATGGATGCCATTATTGGACATGTAGTTTGTGATTGTGATGGCTCATCAGAATTCTCTTTAGTGACTATTCCAGCCTGGTAGGGCCTATATGTCACGTAATTAATGTTATATACATTATAAATATATATTTATTATTTATAGGTGGCCGTTGATAATTTGATTGGGTCACGAGTAACACAGTGAACTTTTTACGCCCCCAGCTTCATATTATAGCCAACAATAAATTATATAAAAATTTATCCCTTTTGTTGTTTTTTGAAGTTACCGCTAGACATTAACAACTCAAGGTTACAAATGGGATTAAATTTAGGATTTTTCTTTTATAAAAGAGCTTTCACGTCATTAAGTTACGAGACGATTGACCTTGGGATTTAATGATTTTAAGTTGCGTTGATTAAATTTTTACGGTGTGATGGGTTAATAAAATGCAGGAGTATAATGTGAAGGTGATGATGAGTCGCAACGTATTTCTGGTGGACCTGGTTGAGGAAAGTATTGGTCGAGTATTGAAAGTGGATTCCATTGAATCAGGCAATAAAGATTGGAAAGGCATTGATGTTTTGATTTTTGATTCTTGGCATTGGTGGCTTCATACCGGAAGGAAGCAGCCGTAAGTCTATACAAAACCCTATTTTTACTATGGTTGATTTGATTGAAAAAGAAAAAAGAACTCGATACCCTTTTTAAACCTTGTAGATGAAAAGGAAAAATATTAAGATCCGACAATGTTTGAATATAACCTGATAGAATCAAATACCAGATATAGTCACTTGTAACAAAGAGACGATCTCTTCCTTTATTTTATTTTTTTTGGTTTTTTTTTGCTACGTTGGCTTGGCGTAATTATAAATTGTTAATTACTTTTTAAATGTATTTGTGTTGTCATGTGGTGTGTGTGTGTGAAGGTGGGATTTCATTCAAGAGGGGAATAAAACGTACAAGGATATGGATCGGTTGGTGGCATATGAGAAGGCATTGAAAACATGGGCCAATTGGGTCGACAGCAACGTTGATCCTTCAAAAACTAAGGTTTTCTTTCAAGGCGTGTCTCCGGATCATATGAAGTAAGCAAGAAATTATATACTTATTCGGTCCTTAATACATGACCCACTTTATAGTATAAATTGTATTATAAAATGGGTCTTTTATTAAGAACCGGGATGAATACATATGTTTTCTCCTTATTATTATACATGTTATTATGCATCAATCAATTCATTTAATTTACCATTGAATGAGCCTCTGCTAGACTCGTTAAAAATATAAGAACAATTATTATTGGTTTGAGATTACAAGCGAAACCGCTAATTCTTATACAAGAAAGCTAACTTTCATGCCATTAAATAATAAGGACATTTACTTCCGTGATACTACCTCTCATCCTTAATATAAGAGCTGGTTGACTAATTTGAATAGATTAAGAAAATTAGTTAAGCTAGTAATTTATAATAATTAAATAAGTGTTGTTTTTTCTAAAATATTCTTGCTAATCAAGTGTATTGGCTAGAATTACCATTATTATAAGGATTGTCTCGATAAAAAATAGATAAATATGAGAAAAAAAGTAGATTGAAATTTTATAATTAGAATAAAAAAAAAATTAAACTAATTCTCATATTAAAGATAAGAGGTAGCATTATTTAATTACATTCTATGCATGCATTTTACGTTTAGCACGATCAACACTTTAGAATTTTTTTTAACAAAAGAAAAATAAAAATTAAAGAGGGAGTCCCGTGATTATGGCCCAATAAAAATTATGGGCCCCTTATTTGCATGTACATGTGGGGTGCATATATATTCCTTTTGCAAAATAAAATGACATTCACACACACACACACACACACACACAACTTTACCAGGTTCGATTTCTCAAATTATTTTTGTCTAAAGTGAAAAGGGATATAAACATACCTTTGGGCCCCGCTTTTATGAGATTCACTAGGTAAAAAAGTGAGGCCTATTATTATGCTGCGTTTATGTCTCTCTTTTTTGCTTAATTACATTATGATAACGTTGTAATTGAATTTTAGCGGAAAGGAATGGGGAGAAGCAAGAGCAAAGTCATGTGCAAATGAAGAGAGGCCACTGGAAGGACACAAGAAGTATCCAGGAGGAAGCCACCCAGCAGAGTTAGTGGTAGAGAGAGTTCTGAAAGAAATGTCAAACCCTAATTTAGTTTATCTACTCAACATCACCGCTCTCTCTCAGCTCCGAAAAGACGGCCACCCTTCCGTCTATGGCCACGGTGGCCACCGTGACATGGACTGTACCCATTGGTGCCTCCCCGGTGTTCCTGATACTTGGAATCAACTCTTGTATGCTGCTCTCGTCTACCAAAATTATCATTATTTAATATAATTCATTCATATTTCTATCTATATATCAAAAGAAATTTTTACACACATATATTTTTCTGATTGTATTTTTCTCCTTTTTTTTTTTTAATATTCTTCATTGAATTCGTGTGTTTGTCCGACTTAATAATTTAATTCTGAAGGTGAAGTTGCTCGACTTTAATTTTCTTTAATTTCTCTTTGAATAATCCCTTTCTCGTCAAATTAATGTTATTGCCTTTTGAATTTAGTCTTCTAATCAAAATAATCTCTTGAAAGAGAGAATGCATAAATTGTTGATGCTTCGTAATAGAATAATTTCAATCGGAACAAAATGTTGAGATCAAATTGCGACGTTTTATCACAAATGCTTTAATTTGATTTGCTTATTTTTATAATTATTTCTTAATTTTTATAATTAGCGGACATATATTCCATGACATAGACATCTCAGAAGTCAGTTTCAATGCTTTCTTAACTAAATCCAAAACCTTTTTACCTTTATCAAAAGGTGAACGGGACAACTTATCCGATGATCACCGCAAAACTCTGAATAATAGTGCATAATTTTCTTTTATTTATTGTATCAGATCGAATACCATAGATCCAAAAAACAAGTTTAACAAAACCCAGAAAAAGCCCAAAAAAAAAAAACCAAAACAGAACAAACTTGAGGCTTTTTTTTTTTCTTTCCCTTTTTTAACCTTTTCCTTTCCCAGTGATTCTACAGAGCACGCACTTTTGGATCAACCAGTAGAGAAGGAGGAGAATTATGAAGAGACTCACCGCAATATCCTTCAAGTATATCACCTTCTTCATTGGTAAACCCTAGAGAGCTCATAATATTAGGCCAGCAATCCTGCCCTAACACCTTCTTAATGGCTTGGCAGCATCCATGCCCTAAGTACGTCTCACCACTGAGGAAGAACGTTATAACCTCCCCACTACAAGCTTGCAGCTCAAAAAGTGAGTCCCAACAGGTCGACGGCCCGGCCTCCAGCTTCAGCCGTGCGGCAAGGCTAGCCGCTGGGGAGGCAGCCGACGGATCCGAGAGTGTTCGGGCCTCGCCCATTGCTGATGTTATGAGAAGAGCAATGAGGATGAAGAAGCTGTAGGTGGAAGCGGCCATTGGAGAAATTGAAGCTGTAGTGTGTGGATGGTTCTGTGAAACCAGCTAGCTAGGTTTTGGGGCTTATATGTAGCGGACGATAATGAATATAATTAATTTACAGTTACTTAAGATAGAAGAAGAAGGGGCTCCAAGTTAATTGTGATAACTAGTGGTTTCGATGATGGCTAATTATTAGTTACTTTAAATATGGATTGATGTGTTAATGAATAAGGAATGTTAAAAGCCGCTGTGTGTATTTGCAGTGAAGTTAATCTGACATAAATTTTGTTGCTTATGTTAATTTTTTTAAAGTTTTTATTAGGGGACAACGTACCTACACAAGGCGAGGGATATGGTATCATGTATTTGATGATTATTAGAATTATAAAAATAGATAGATTAATTGCTTCATGGCAATTTAGCATAAACAAAATCATAATACTACCTTGGATCCTTAATATAAGGGTTGGTTTGACTTTCAATTTGGAGACTCCAATCCATTTTGTTTATCATATTTATCTATTTTTTTCAAAATAGTTATTGTTGTAGTTGCATATATTAAAAATTTAATGAAATAGTTGTTTTAGCTAATACATGATTAGTAACGATATTTTAAAGAAGACAATACATAACTCAACAAACTTTTTTAATCTACTCAAATTAGTTAATTAGCACTTATATTTAAAAATAATAATAAAATACTATCTCCAGTCCTTAATATATATAAGGTTTAGTTTGATATTTAATTTTGTTCTAAATATAATATCTAATCTATCTATGTCTGAGGTTTGCCCACAAATCCCATATGACAAAGTAGCAGTAAAAATGATATATAGAGACCAAAGGAAAAAAAAAAAAAACAAATAGTATTTCTTGAATTATGAAACTAAGTTTATTGGTGAGTATTTTCTCAGTAAATAAGGTAATATTTTCTCATTTTATAAGAATAATGAAATAAAATATTCAATCATTCAATTCATTCAAGTTTTTATTAGGGGACAACGCATCTACACAAGGCGAGGTATATCGTATCATGCATTTGATGATTATTAGAATTATAAAAATAGATTAATTACTTCATGGCAATCTAGCATAATCAAAATCATAATACTACCTCCAGTTTTTAATATAAGAGCTAGTTTGACTTTCAATTTTGTCTTAAAGATAAGATCCCAATTTATTTTGTTTCTCATATTTATCTATTTTTTTAAGTAGTTATTGTAGTAGTTGTGCATGTTAAAAGTTCAACCAAATAATAATTTTAGCTAATATATGATTAATAAGGATATTTTAGAAAAGATAATACATAATTATTACAAATAATTAACTCAACAAATTTTTTTAATTTAATCAAATTAGTCAATTAGTTCTTATACTAAAGATCAGAGGTAATATTTTATTACCTTTGATCTTTAATATAAGAATTAGTTTGATATTCAATTTGATTCTAAATATAAGACTCTAATATACTTTATCTTTAATATTTATCAAGAAATCTCATATGACAAAGTCGCAGTAAGAATGATATATATATAGACGACAAGGAGAAAAGAAAAAAAGTATTTCTTGAAATGTGAAACTAAGTTCATTGGTGAGTATTTTCTCAGTAAATAAGGTAATATTTTCTCACTTCATAACAATAATAAAATAAAATATTCAATCATTCGACTCATTCAAGTTTCAACGTAAAACTGCATGACCGTAAGCGCACGTAACGGTTTATAACGGTGCAGGTATAGAAAACGAATCTACATCGTCTTCTCTTTTCCTGGTATTTAGGTTAAGACAGAAATTGGACTTGATTACCAAAAGCGGTAAGAATTCTGACTGTTTTATAACCTTACTATTTTTTAAAAGAAAAAGCTATCGTAATTATATATTGATGACTTCATTTACATTTTCTATTTTAAAATAATTGTCACTTTGCATTAAAAAAATAATAGTCACTTTAAAATTTTAGTTTCCTTAAAATAATTTTTACTTTAGAATTTTAGTAAAACACTGATTATTTTTTTAATCACTTTACTACTTCATCAATAAAAGTAATGGTCAGTGAAGTTTAGTAGATAGGTATATACATCAACATTTTAATACAATAACATTTCCTTCATACACTCACACACACACACATATTAGATTTTGGTATAAATAACTTGGGCAATTCATAATGAAAATCCCCGATTGTATATATGATTCAAAGTCATAGAAGGTCAACACCAGTTATAATTATTCAACCAAAAATTGTTGTATTATGAAAAGAGCCAAATAAACGTTTCGTGTTTTGCGCAACGATTGTTTGAATATTGATTATTTTATAGATATATTGCATGTATTGATATTGATTAGTATAAAGTTTTGGGAGAATCCATGAAAAGATACTTAAATATCCCAAATTCTTATTTAGATTATCAAATTTGTCAAACTTCTAATTAAGTCACATAATCTAAAGAAGGATTTTGAAATCTTATGAAATGATTCTAATGCTACTTTCAATAGAAATCAAAAGAAAAAAAGGTTTAAATTAACATATTTTATTTCACAATTAACACGTTTTAGTTTTAAATTAACAATTTTCTCTTTTCATAATACTCTTGCCTAAGTATTTAAATAAAACTTGATTGCAATACAACATTAAGAGTTAATAAGTTTAATTACATGATTAACAAGTTTCATTTATAAACTAACAGCTTTATATCTCTAAAACATTTACAATAAATCTCTAAATAAAACTTAATCATAATACAGTCTTAAAATTTAATATGTTCCAATAATAGTAACACATTTCAATTCTAAATTTACAATTGTTTTGTCTCCATAACACCCTTGTGATAAGTTTTGAATAAAACTTGATCATAATATAATATTAAAGATTAACATATTTTATTTCATATTTAAATACATTTCAATTCTGAATTCACAACTTTTTGTCTCCGTAACACATTTACAATAAATCTTTAAATAAATCTTAATCACAATATAATTTTAAAAATTAATATATTTCATTTTATGGTTAAATACGTTTCAATTCTAAATTAATAATTTTTTATCTCCATAACACTTTTAAACATAAAACTGCATGACCGTAAGCGTACGTAACGGTTTATAACGTTGCAGGTATAGAAAACGAATCTACATTGCCTTCTTTTTTCCTGGTAATTAAGTTAAGACAGAAAATAAACTTGGCTACCAAAAGTGGCTAGAATTCTGGCTATTTTATCAACTTACTTTTTTCTTTTTCAAAAGAAAAATCGATTGTAATTATATATTGACTTCATTTACATTTTCTATTTTAAAATAATTGTCACTTTGCAGGAAAAAAAATTGTCACCTTAAAATTTTAGTTTCCTTAATAATTTTTACTTTAGAATTTTAGTGAAACACTAGAGTAATCGTAAGTGAAGTTTAGTAAATAGGTATATATATATATATATATATATATTACTCCCCCAGTCCTAAATATAAAGGTCTTATATTTAGGACCATTATATATTACTCCTCCAGTCCTAAATATAAGGGTCTTATATTTAGGACCGGAGGAGTAACATTTTAATACAAAAGCATTTCATTCATATATATATATGTATATATATTAGATTTTGGTATAAATAGCTTAGGCAATTCATAATGAAAATCCCGATTGTGGATTCAAAGTCATAGAAGGCCAACACCAGTTATAATTATTCAACCAAAAATTCTTGTATTATAAAAAAAAAATCATATAAACGTTTCGTGTTTTGCACAACGATTGTTTGAATATTGATTATTTTATAGATATATTACATGCATTGATACTGATTAGTACTATAATTTTTTTATATTATATTGTAACACATGCAAATGAAAACATTATAATAGTTTGTTTTCCTTCATTAATTTAATTTTAACAATAATAATTGCAATGGAATCATAACAGTAGTATTTTTTTTTTTTGGTGAGTGGAAATGGTCTAATATTGTTTTTTCTTCACGCGCGGACCTGGCGGGTTCGACGAACTTTCGAAGGTGGTTAAAAACTTAAAACCGGCTCGGTCAAGGCATGCATGTGGTCAAACTTTTCATTTAACGCGTTGACATTCAAACGTCACAATTTTTTTTAATTTGAACTAATACATAATTTTAAGCTAACTATATATTTATTTTTAATGGAATATTTCTGAAAGAAAATTCTATATCTAAAAAATCACATTTTAGATCATAATTGAAAAATGTTTGTGCTAAGTTATTTAAAATTTGAATTTATGTTACAGGTTCAGGGGATAAAATGCTTGTTCACTTTAAACAACGCAAAGTAGAATGCGGTTATGACAGTGGAGATAAATTTTAAACATCTAAAAATATATGAGGTTTTGAACTACAATGGAAAAAATAAATTAGGAGTAAATTAAAATTTTAGATAAAAATAAGTATTTAATTATTTCTTTTAAATTTTACTTGCGAAATGATTTAATTTTTTGAGTACTAAATAAATTTTCATAAATAAAATTACTTAGCTATATCTTTTCTGAATTTCTCAATTAGAATTAGAAAATCTAATTTTTTAATATATGCTAATCAAATTAAGTATTAAAGTAAATTATACATTTGACAAATAATTCTGACCTTTGTTGAATATAATTCGATTCTTTATTCTTAAATTTTGTCCATAATTTTGAATAAAATAAAAACA